ATTTGTGTACACACAAAATTAGATGACATAAATACAAACTAAAGGCAAACTAAAAAGCATTTATATATTATGTATTCACTTTCTTTGTCATGTTTAAGAATTTTGCAAAAATAGCATCTCCCATTTGAATCTTTACATTCTCGTAGTATTCAATTTAGTCTTTGTTCACAAATACAAGTAGAAGACCAAATTAATATCCCAGACGTCGTTAAAGTTAATTTCTGAAAGAAATTTGTTCTACATGTGTAAACTTTCAGCATACTCTAATGTTATATGATTTTTTTTTTGACATCATGATCATATCATTCACTCAATTATTTTTCTAATAAATTTAAGTTTGAGCTATCCAATTTCAAAATTGGCTCCAACAATGCCTTACCGTTTCGCTGTCAAGAGAGGGTAAGTTGGTCAATTTAATATAGAAATGACGGGTTGATTTAATTGGATCGGGTCGGGGCATGCTATTAAAAATCAAGAAATCTAAAACAAATAAAGGATTTCTCGCTTTCTTTCGGAACAATACGCAGATTGTGATTCAACATGGTGAATGAAGAAAATTCAGAAATGCAGAGTTCCTACAACGAAAAAGATAAGATTGTTTTGGAATTGATGGATTCGACGGACAGCTATCTACTTCTTATGAATTCTCTGTCATCATCACTTCGCGAGGTTTCAACTTCTTTCTTTATCCCTCTTTTTTTCTTCAATCAAAAACATCTGAATATTACATTAGATAGGTACTGATTCCTCTGTAATCCTCACTATCCCTGAGTTGCATCTTCTCCTTGGTCATTAACAGAGGTGGATCCAGAATTTAGTTTAACAGACTTGTAATGATGCATATGTACATATAATGCTTTATTCAAGTGGATGAAAATTTAAGTTTGATTGCGAGTGGATGATATAATAATTTGTGCAAGTAACGTCTATGGATCCAAGAAGTTGTTATAGTATTGACCTTGAATTTGGCTTACATGTCAGGGATGGCTGGAGCTGGCGAGTGCTAGGCATTCCATGGGCGCTTCACGTATCAGTAGTGCATTGTTTGATCTCAAATCTCATTCTGCTGCCACTACATTGCAATTAAACCATCAGGATGGTAAATCCATACTCTCTGCAGCATTTCAGCCTTTGGGTTGATAGCAACAACTTACCCTGTGTAATCCTACGGTGGGGTTTAGGGAGGGTAGTGTGCCTTTTATTTGACGGCACACAATATTGCCTGTGATTCTTGGAGTTACTTTTCTGTTAGAAAATGCTTAATCTGTAGGACTCATGGGAGTTCCAATGCGGTTATGTAACCATCCATTACCCAAATTGTAAAGATGGAATTATCTATCTAGGGGATCATTTATAAGACATGCCTGATTTATCTTTTTCCTCATTTACATGTTTAGGACCCAGCGCTTCTTCCATTCTTCATGTAACTGATTATATGAATAAAGTGGGCTCATGGACCTGTATTTGATTATATTTTTTATCCTAGATTTTCTTTATAAGACTGGCTGTGATGTATACTGATTATGTTATGCAGCTGGGCCTAAATCGGAGGAATCACATTTCAGTTTGTGCAAGTGGGCATCATCTGAGAGTCCAAAAAGCTGTTCTGAGGAAGCAAAATTTGAGGAGGATAAGCTGTTACAGAAGAAATCCAATAGCCCAAAGGTTCTGAATCAGGATGGTTCGTCAAATTCTGGTACAGATGCATGTTCCTGGCTCTTTTAACACTTGTACTGTTTCTTAAAAAACAGTTTTAAGAAGAATAAGATATTATGCTGCTAATATAAAGTAAAACACCTTCTTGTTTCAAAATTCAAACATGATAATAGACCTGAATTTTCAGCTACTCTTACTGAGGTAGAAGCATCGAAGTATTTCTCTCTCAACTTCTGTAGTGCAGAGTGCATGACAATATCTCTAACCTTTTTCCTTCAGCACTTGATGTTTGTTAGTGCCATGTAAGTCCAGCTTAAGAAATGCTTCTTCTACACTTAAAGCAAAAAATAGTATAAGATATGTACTCAAATAAGTAAATAAAGGATGCATCATAAAATCCTTTACCTGAATTGAGCTTCTTTGATAAATAAAAGTTTTTTTCTTTTACTTTTGCAAAGAAGTTCTGGAAGAAGCGTCAGAAGTGCCGGAAGCTACCGAATCACCACGCACGGTGGAGGATCAAGTAAGTGACTCACCAATTTATATTCTCACAATGACTTCCAATCAAGCAGTGTTTTCCAGGCGGTATGATTTTATAAAGCGATGCTCACCTCTGGTACCTGTACATGCATTATTCAATTAATCTCCCCAGCCATGTAGTACCTCCCCTTAGAGAGAGAGAGAGAGAGAATGCGTGAAGAGTTATGGAATAGCCTTTGAGTACATAGATTATGCAGGCAGTGACAACATAAATAAATGCTTCATGCCCACTAAATTCATTTATCATTTGATAATTCCATTAAGAATCATTGAATCACCTTGCACGTCAGCTTTGCTACCAAATTTTATTTATGACGTGATTTAGAAGTGAGCATAAGTCAAGGTTAACCAAAAGGTTATGAACTTTAATCTTGTTTTCAGCTTACTTATCTCCTCAATTATATGATCCCCGCTCTTCATCCAAGTTTTCCTGGCAATTTTTCTCCGTGAATTGATAAATTGAAATGAAGAAATAATCTGTCTCTGCTTCTTCTTCTTCATTTACACCATTGATGTGACATTGTCTCATCATTCCGAAGCATCCTTCACCAACTTTGATGAAAAAGTCCTTCAAATCCCCCTTCTTTTCATCTCCGAGCTAGTTGCCAAAAATTGGATAGGTGGAGTGCAGATCTGCAATTTTTGAAGTTTACCTTTCCCAACCTTTTGGCTAATATCAAGTGTTAATAAATCTGCAAAAGTTCAGATTTTCGAACTTCACCTTGGATATATAATCAAAATAACTATTTGGATTTCATTATTCTTTGGCAATACCTTTTATATCTAACAATTACATAATCTTTTATGTTCAGAACTCATATCAATCTTACTGTTCTCTTCTTTTTTTTAATGAACATCAATCTTACTATATTCTTTTCTTGATTACCTCTCGTTTTATTAATTTGGCAGGGTTAGACTAGAATTAAATTGAGCATTATTGTGTACATTAAATTTAGTGGTACTGTTATTTCTTTTCTAGGCTCGAAAAGAGCGGCTCAAGTCATTATCCGTGTTTGGAGTGCTTGTCTGTCCAAAGCTTCGAGCTGCCCAATCGTCATTTGAGACAGGTAAATTACTTTCATCCCTCCAGCAACCATCAGAAGTATCTTTTCATATTGGTATACTGGAGATAAAAGTGCTTGGAGTAACAAAAAATCCCTGGTGAAATTGAACTTTTGAGAACTAAAAGTGCCAAAAATATGCCGTACTACTCTAGGACGTTTGGCAATCAATTCTGTGTATCTATTTTTGCAATCTTTCTGTGCCTCATCTTGATGGAATTAGTGGCTTTATATTTTGCAGCTCTTGAAACTCTAGTAGAAGTAGCAAATAAACGGGCTGACCTGCTTAATGCTTATGACCAAGTGCGAGAAAAGACGGAGAGCGCGACCAACTGACGAAAGGTTACACTTCTCTTGCTTTCTCTGGTTCCTTAATCCCTGGGTGTTTGTTTCTTTTTTCCTTGGGGTTCAGAAAAATAATGTGTTATGAGTAAATGTTAGGCTCAAGATAACATGTTAATGAACTTCAAGTAATATTTTTTTTTCTTTAAAAAGGTTCTGCATAACATGTTTTCTTGTGTGCCTTTACCAGAAGCCAAGCCCTGTGTCTGGAGATCTCACCTCCTTCTGACCTTCCCCAAGGGGAAATTGGGGAATAAATCAAATAAATGCAAATACAGCCCTACCTAAAAAAGGATAAACGAAAAGAAAAGAAGAGAACAGACTTGAAGGTCCGGAGATGATGGCATTGGTATAACAGACTAACAGAGAGATGATGGCTTTATTTGAACTGATCTATCTTTTGTATTTCTGCTTATCTGAAAGATTCTCTGGTGTAAGTTCTTGCACATTTCATATGGTTTTTTTTCCACAGGGGAGGTATTTAATTTGTGCAACTAACTCAAAACTTATGAGCTAAACTTTTTTGGGGGTTACAGGTTCCAATAGCCAATTTAGTGAATCAAGTCTTAATTATTATGTTAAACAGTGATATGTAGAAAGAATTTTATTGGTGACAGAATGTTCAATGATTTCATTTTGAGATATCATCTAAGCAGCATTCTTGCTGTATTAAGGTGACAAGTATTGCCATTCCATGTTTAAGATGTTTCCATACCAGCAACTACTGAATCTGATGCTGCTTCGTGATCTTATGACAATCCACTTGCAGTTGCAGCTCTTTCTTTTGGAAGCTTTGTTAAGAAGTTGGACGTAGAGAAAGAAATGAACATCTCTCAGCAGGGACGTCATATGTCAAGCGTAAGACACATGAAAACAGAATGATTTTTTTTTGAAGTAGCAAGTGCCCGTTATTCTTCTCTGTGCATGTTTGATTACAGTTTACACAAAGTTTCTGTATACAAATTACGCGTAGCCTATAATCATATCACATCTTACTTTAATTTCATGAGAACTCGTCATAACTACTGGTACTACTTCTAGTTACACGAAGTATACATAGCCGTCTGAAATTCTAGGAATTGGTTGATTTACTGTCAGAAATCCAATTCAGTCCTTAATAGAAGGAATTTATGCATTATTTCTCTTTCTTTTTCACCTTTAAATTACTCGTGCAAGAAACAGACTTTCCCAACATGTCACTTCATGTTCATCAGAAGTTACCTTCAGATTTGCCAAGTCAATCTTTGGAGTTGGGGAAACTTCCTATAATAAAAGATAAATAGACAAGCTACCAATTTATACGGCCGAAAGATATATAGTACCACCTACTTCTATGTTTCCACTCGTTCATATTTACTTGTCGATGACTAACAATCTAGAGTATATAAAATGACAACAATACGAAAGAAAACTTGTTGGCTTGATTTGATACTAAAAACAATGACTAGTATTAACAAGGGAAGAGCAAAAAAGAGGGCTCTACATGTATTTTCCTATGTACAAAACTAATCCTGCTTAATTTATTGTGACACCACACTAGTTGATCTTTGGTTAGCCTTGACATGTTGAGGACCCTAGCCACTAATTTCACATCTACTTGAGAGAAAAAATAGAGTACATGATCTGAATCATCTTCTCTGTTCTTCCTGAACTTCCTCAATATGCAATTTCCACTTCTCAAAACTTCCTGCAGCTTCTTCTCCTTCTGCATTCCGTAAAAAAAAACGTTCAGGCAATCATGTCATTGTAGATTCTAGATATTGTTGAGACATAACATAATTAAGTAAATAAAAATGTGCTTTGTCCAACAACTTAAACTTTAGATAATTTAGTCACATAGTTCAATAGATATAGCTGCTACAAAAAGAAACTAACCTTTTCAAGATTTTTTCTGATCTCCAGTAAAAGCTCCACGTCCTCTTGTTCTTGAACCTCTGGATGAATTCCCTTTTGACCTTTCGCCATCACGCTATAACAATCTTTATCGGCTTTGACAAAGCGCCAAAATATTCGTATAGATTCTTCCAGTATCTCCACTAGCATGTCACTTGTAATTGAAAAAACAGCTTTCTCTTTTGTTCTTGCCTTGTTTCTGTCCTTCACTCTGTCATCTGTACGTCACTTTTGAGTTTAAATACACTAGACTTTACCTCTAACAATAACCAGCAACAAAAGTAAAAAATGTACTAACCTCTAATAACAGGAACTTGAAGAAGATTACGAAGATCATATCGACTCTTGATAAAATATTGAACTCTAGGCCCTTGAAAAGGTTCATTTTCAATAAATCTTTGCATGAGCACCTGAAACTGTTGAAACTCTCCAGCTACTTCATTATATTTTCGGATCCCACGTGGGTCAGAATCCCACAAATTTAAAGCCTTCATATATTGCCAGTGCAAAAATTCCCAAGAAAGGCACATCTGGCCAACGTATACCACTTCCAAATCACTCTGCATTTCTTTAATAAACCTTACCATTGGGTCAATATCATGACTTTTATGTTTGAATAGCCTAATATTTTGAGAGAGAAGGGATTTTAGTGTTGGACCTGAAGATTTCTGGTTGAACAGTAATTGCAGTGGATCTTTTAGCAGATCTTTCTGCAGATAACCTATAAAACATTTGAGATTAGAGAAGCTGAATATCAAAAAAGGATTTAATAATTAGAAAGTATTTCGCGAGACAAGTAGGTGGAACATTTAGGGAAGAGAACTATGATCCGCTACGTAATCAGTCAATCCTACAAGATTATCTTAAGCAAATTGTCTGTTGTTGGCCAACAAACTTATAGGTATGCATTATGAAAGTTTAAAAAGTTCAACTTTCCAGATATGATCTTACACAAAAGGTCAGTATACACATTATTCTATTCTTTTACTTGTGTCATGTGTGTTCTGTTTAGACAGCTACATAAGAAAGAAACAAGAACATACTTCTAGCAAGTACAGTATTACTATATAATATGGACATCTTGTTGTGTAATCTTCCTCTTGTTCATATGAATAAACATTAAAAACAACATTTTGACTTATTCAAATGGAAACAAGCGTGTAACGTGTATTGAGTGTTATCATTATCTAACCTTTTCTTTTTTCATATGGACGACAACATAAAATAAGAGAAAAGGTTGTTAACCTTTTCACTGGGGCCTATTCTGTTACTTACATCATGGATCCAATGCATTGAATTTCATGTTATTATGAGTTTCAGGAGCCCAAGCTAACAAGATCTTGTGGGTCCTGAATAATTAAAGGTTAGCCACTTTATTCTCTTTTAACTTAATTTCTAATTATGATGATAACCATGGACACTAATCTTGGAGCGCCTACTATTGAAAAAGACTAACTTTTATACGTTGACAGTTAATGAAAAGAAATTATGTAGTTTAGAGTTGTCAACTGACCTATTGCATACATCTTCTGATACGTCAAGATGTCGAATTTTCGCATTTTCTCTCTGTAACTCTTGTAGAATTTGTGAAGTTCGCTCATAGAATCTTCACGATGAAGCATTTCATCAATCTTCCACGGTTGTAATTCGTCCATTGTTGGAGACTCAGACTCTTCCAAAATAGTAGGCAGACCCGTGGCTCTGACTTTTCGAATTTCCATCTTTAATTGTTCAATCAACTCTTGATGTTCCCACAGGGATTCTAATTTGTTTGCATCCCCAGAAGTGTCAACAATAGCTGTGTTTATTGACTTGGGATTTTCAGACTCTTGTGGACCATAAATTAACTTGTCATCTTCTGTAACAAATTCTAAGCTTTCAACCATGCCCAAATCTTCATGAATATCATTCTGGGATAAAAATTCTGAGTCATTTTGCTGGTCTTCTTGTTCTAATCCCCTTAACTCTTCCATTATATCACTATCACTGTCCTCAAAATCCTCAGATTCATGATTTTCTTCAGACAAATCAAGATTTTTTAAATTTAAAGGATCAAGCTCAAATTCACCACCAAAATCTTCATCTGACAAGAAGCCATCACTGTAGGAATTTACTAACCTGCTCATAAGCGAACGCATATGCTCAAAACCAACTGATACAGTATCTGAATCAGTACCTGAAGAATCTTTCTCTGATTGAAACAAAAATTCATCAGGGAAATCTGAATCACCCAATAATTGTTTGCAGACAGAATCTGATTCTCCCTTGAGGAATTCCATTCCTTCAATTTCCTTTTGATAACCGTGGTGTTCAGGCGCGCCTGTGTGCTCCTCTTCCTCCTGAATGCCTTCCATTTTATGATGTGGTACTTCTTTCCTGTCTTCTTCATCCAAATCAAACACATCTTTCATATTACAACCAATTTCTTCAGCATTCAGGTTCACAATCTCAGGTTCTTGAATTAAACTGCTAAAACTCTTTTCTGGTACAAACTCAGACGCGATAAGTTCACCAGTTTCTGTCTTGTCTTTCCTAAATTCCTCATAGGTTGGGAATTTAAACTTAAAACAAAACTCAGTTTTCTCCTTATCGTCATTCTTGTCCGAATCAACTTTCTCATTGTCGAATTGTTTTTCTTCAGGCAGAACTTCAAAAAATTCCGAATTGTCGTTTAAAGTAGCGTGACCCCTTCTTAATCTACAAAGTGAAAATTAGTGATGATATAATCACAAACAACATAAAAATTACTGAAAAGAATGAAATTTGATACCTGAGGAACAATGTAGGGATGAAAGTGAACAGAGGAACCAAATAGAAGAAAACAGAGATGAATAGGATAGCAAGAAACAAGAACAGATTTTGAAAGAATAAGCGATAATAGAAATCCATATTCAGAGAAACCAAGAGGGTTGGGAGAAAGAAAGAGTTTCTGAATCTGCCATGGATTTTAACACCCAGTGGTGAAAAATTCAGTTTGAAGGAAAGAAAGAGAGGAAATCTGAAGGAAAACTCATGGCAATTTTGAATTTTGCAGAGCAAGAAATCGACACAGCACCTGTAAACAAATACAAAAGTTGAATTTTTGAAATTGAAACGTGACCTAACTGGAGAATTTCACAGATTTATGAGAGCTACCAGTCACCATCTTGGCCTAATTCTGGTTTATTAATTTTAAAAAATAAAAGTAGAGAGAGAAGAATTGAGTTTGTTATATAAAAATTCGTCTACAGAATCGGAAATTATCAGTTGGACAAGTCCTGTTCTTCCTGCTTATTCTTTGCAGACGAAAATATTGGAGAGTGGGCGTGGGGTTTGGGGGTAAATAAACAAATATATATATAGGGGTAAATTGGGGTTAAAACGGAATTTACATTTCTTTCTTTTATGAAGTTGCAGTCGGCTGCAAATTTCATTTATTTTATTCAATAGAAAAATGTTGTTAAAAAGTATGCAAATTATTTTAATTTTATTATGGGTTGTACGTTGAGAATATTAGGTTAAAATAGTTTTTAAATATGTGGCAAAATAATATTTCCTAAAAAAGCTTCAAGTATGTGGCAATTTATTAAGTAATACTCCTTTGTCCCTAATTACTTATCCACTTTTGAATTGACACACTTATTAAGAAAACAATTATTGATATAGTGAGTTTATCATTTTACCCCTATTAATTATGAAGTAGAGGCATTAAAAATTTAAGATTTTCAAGAAGTCTACCTTTTTAAAAATAATTAATTGAGGGTATAATAGGTAAAAAAAATTAGTCTTTTCTTGATTTGTCAAAATGGACAAGTAATTAGGGACATCTAAAAAAGAAAAAGTGGACAAGTAATTAGGGACAGAGGGAGTAGTAAATACATAATCAATCCCAATATAATACTACCTTTTCCTTAAATGAAGTTTGATATTTAAGGACAATAGTGGAAAGTATGGTTAAATTACGTCTTTTTTACTTAATAAGTTTGCATTAAATTTGGTATTCTTTACAAAATTTTAAGTACTTAGAAAAGGAAAAAATAACTACATACGTATTGGCCTTTGGTCATTTTAAAACATTTCTAAAAGAAATTAAAAACCATGTGTATGAAAGTTAAAAAAAATAATATGAAAATTAGTCAATTTCCCATGTATTGGAAAGCTTTCTCTTTTATTGAAACATAATTAATAAATAAATTAAAAAAATATAAATTTGACAAAGAAAGATATAATTATCAAAAAGAAAATCAATTTATAGTGTGAATATGTATTTGGGTCATTATAGTCAAATTCTGGCCAAAATGATGTTTCCATAAAGAAAGTACATAAATTAAGGTCAATTACATGAATTGGCTATTCTATTTAAGTTCAATTCATTTCATTACATAAAAGGTGTAAAATTCAACCATTTTAGGATCATCTTCCTAAGTACGTATTGTGTTTGCACGTGCAATACGTATGTGCATTAAGCTGTCTATACTTTCTTGTTTAAGTTGTAATTTTTGCATATGCAACGGACTTTGTCAAAATATTTTTGTGATGTCCCAATTGAACCAAAAAAAGTAAACTGAATGGACATATTTTGGAATTGAGCAATAAGCGTGTCTGCTGGTGTAATTGTGCTATAAAGGAAATTTCTCTGCTTTTGCTTACGCGTTGATTATAGCATGGTAAAACTAACGGTACTAAATTATGAATGAAATTTAATTTTCTTAGGTGGCTTTGGCATCCGCGTAATCTAATAATAATTACACAAAATAAATGAGGTATCTATCCCCTACCAATAAATGAATAATCAATCTCTTACTAATAACCAAAAAAATAATTACCAATAAATTTTGCTACCTACTTGACTACTTAACAATCTATCAATACATCATAGCTAAATTGACCAAGCTAAATAAATTTGAAAAGATTGCTTCTTCGATTTCAATTCCTGTGAAATATTATATACGTCTTGTTTTAATTTAGTTGGATCGACAAATTTTACGAATTAAATTGAATATAAATAACCTATAAATTGCAATTCTAATACAAATGGGGGAAACAATAAGAATTTGAAATACTAGTTAAATTAAACATTTTAGTATGAGAGAAAAGTGCGAAAAGGGGTAAATCTTTGTAGTCTTTTTTTTTTGGGGGGCAAATCTTTGTAGTCATAGTTCTTTAATGACTTCTTTTTTCTGGAAATATTTTTTGAACTTATTCGTGAGTTCATAAAATGTGACATATTAACTATATGTCGGCTTAATTTTATGATGCTTTTGACTATAAGGTTGAAGAGAAAACATAGTGCTTGGGAACCACTTTCTCATGGAACAAATATGTGGAAATTATCAACATAGTGATATAAATTGCTACTCTCTGTCCCTAATTACTTGTCTATTTTTTTTTTTAAAGTGCTATATGGTCAGAAAATTAAAAAAATTATAATATTATTTTTATTTTAAAACAAACTGATCTTTTTTCCATTTTTTAGTTAAAATGTATTTAAGTTAAAAGGGTAAAATATTTAAAAAGCTAAAATAACATAGAAAAACTATCATTCTGGCCAAAAAGATTTTTCCTTTTCCTTTTATAGTTGTCCCTAATTACTTGTCCATTTTGACAAATCAAGAAAGGACAAAATAATTCTACCTATTATACCCTCAATTAATTACTTTGAAAAATGTAGAATTTCTTGAAAATCTTAAATTTTTAATCCATCCACTTCATAATTAATAGGGTGGAATGGTAAACCCACTATGTCAACTTTTTTAATAGGTCTGTTAATTCAAAAGTGGACAAGTAATTAGGGACAGAGGGAGTATGTCGTTATATTGCTACTCCACGCGGGCATAATAATAGAGTAATAAATATGCATATTAAAGAAATCAAACTTATTTTTCAGTTTATTATATTAAAAAGAAAAATCTTTTTGGCCAGAAAATTTGGCCAGAATGATATTTATCTATATTATTTTACCTTTTTAAACATTTTTACCCTTTTAACTTTAATTCATTTTAATTAAAAAATGGAGAAAAAGATCAGTTTATTTTAAAATAAAAAAATATTATAATTTTTTTAATTTTCTGGCCAAATTTTTTGGTCATTTAGCACTTTCCATCTATTAACTATTATAGTAAATTAAGAGAATTTTATTATTTTTTTCTCATGCTGCACTTAATATTAAATAACTAAATAAAGTAACAATAGTCAAATTTAGATTCCCAACTCCCAAGACATTATTAATAAGATTATTTAGTATATGTCTCTAATAAAAGCGTTTTTAATGGCTAATGGTAGGAAAATCGGTAAGCCTTTCAATATACTTTTCAAAGCACGAATGGAGGTTGCTTTCTTAATAATTTAAATAGATAGTTATGTCAAGTCAACTTGACCAAATAAAATGGAGCAGACCGAGTATTTTTCCAGTTTGAAAAATGAAAACATATTTCCTCTACTCTATACTAATTGAATTTTTTGAAATTTTTTTATTATTCAAAATAATTGAATAGTTCAAAGTTCAAGATAAATATTACTCTAGAATTTTTTTTCATATTTATCCTTTCCTTTAATAAAGTGATATTTTCTAAGAGATAAATTTCACTACTTACAAGTTACAAAATTATTTCTAATTTCACATATACGACAATAGTGGAAAGTATAATTTGCATTATGTTTTTGAATATTTTTCTTAATAAGTATGCATTGCCTCATAAGTTTGATTAATATGGAATAGCGGGAGTATTTTCCAAAAGATTTTCCAGAGTACTAAATTTATTATATTCAAAGTGATATACAATAATAAATTTGTTATTTTATTTATTATTTTGGATTATGTAATATCAATACTAAACAAAGTAAAAACAGACCACTGGGGGTAACAATCATCACAGTTTACACTTTCTGAATTTCATTATCTTGTTTATCTTCTACATCTCCATTACTATTAGTTTTTGTTTAGCCACTTACATCTTGATTACTTTTCTCATTTTCAATTACTAGTTTCAATTCACTCAGAACTTTTTGCTGTCTTTATGAGCCCTTTTTAGCTTAATTGCAATTATTTTCACATTTATGCTAATAGTGTTTTGAGTGTGATATATATAGCTACTTTTCTATATCTTTTATAATTCTAACATTGGAAAAATCTTTTTGGCCAGAAAATTTAGCCAGAATGGTAAAAACTATTTTATTTTACCTTTTTGAACATTTTTACTCTTTTAACTTTAATACCTTTTAATTAAAAAATGAAAAAAAGATCAGTTTATTTTAAAATAAAAAGAATATTATAGACTTTTTAATTTTCTGACCAAATTCTGGTCAAATGTTATGGCCATTTAGCATCTTCTACATTTTATCGATCACATGAAAAAAATGATTAACATCACTAAGTGTATTAGATCTGATATGGCTCATCATATTCATTTGGCTTAAGATAAGTATTATGATTATGTAAGAGATTTCCACTTGATATGTCTTTCCTTTTTAAGATCTCAATCTTAGACACAGATCTACTAGGCTGAACTTTTTCTTATTAATTATGGCCACGTGATTAGTTACTAATTAACCTCAATTTATGAAAACGTTCTTAGATAGTATATAAGTGGACACACACACTCTAATTATGAATGAACACATCACTTCAGATTGTGACAATGAAGAGGTTAGAAAGATTTTCACAAATAGAAAAAATATTTTGTAAGTGCCCAAATTAATATTATAAATAAATGATTACGTGTTTGAATACAAGTGTTGAAATTGATACTAAATTGTTGATGTGATTAGTAAAAATAGTGATGATGATCATTATTAATAAAAAGATAAATGTCAAAAACACATCTAAACTTTTTTTTTTCCATATCTAAACTATCACTTATTAGTTTGAGAAACACACATCTCTCTATTATAACATTCTCACCATGGTGTTTGTAATACTCTCTTTTATTTTAAAAAATTGTCACATCACACTTCAGATGGACAAAACATTTCACCTTCACGAAAATTAAATAAATTATTAGCATTAGTAAAAATTAAAGATTAAAATATTATTATCCAAAAAAAAATATTTTTTTTATAAAATAAAATGTAAAATATGTTTCTTACCCCACCATCACTTCCTCTCGCCGTACACCCCCTCTCCCTCCCCCCCTATTTGTTTTATTTTTTTTTATAAAAGTATTTACATTTTTTTAGTTTCATCTCCCCCTCAAATACTAATTTAGATATTATTTTATTTTAAAAAAAATAATTAATTCAACCCACTCCACCTAGCTTTCCGCTTCCAATTTTTTTTTGTTTTCTGTTTAATATATACATATGGAAAACATTTTTTACTTGCCGCAAGACTTATTTAAAAATATTTT